ATTAGAGCAAGAGAATGCTTATAAAGGGTCTTTCTTTTATATAACAGCCAATTTACTAAATCTCCTAATGAAAATAAAGTAAAAACTATATTAAAATTTTAATTCTGATTACAATTTATCAAACATCTCAAAGAACTTCTTTCAGATAAATTTTTTTTCACAGAATCTTATAATCTTCAAGAATAATGTAATGAAGCTATTTGATATACCAACTATCATATTTATATCTGTACTAATCCAGATTGCATATATTTTGATAAATCTAAATTTAAAGTAAATAAAAAAACAAAAAACTTATACTTAATACTAATTAATATTTATACAACTACAATAGTCTTCTTAAAGAAATAATTAAAAATTTTATTTAGAATATACCAAAGCAGAAAATAAAATTTAGGAATAATTTATAATTCACTCTTCAATCTTCTACAATATAGTAAACATAAAGCTATATTTAAAAAATAAATACCTATATAACTTCTCAATGAACTTGTTATAAAAGCTGAATAATTTATTTATTCAAATAATCTAACTAAATCAAATTCTAAATGAAAAAACTATTACTTTTATCAATATCTTTAAACTTATTAAGACACAGATACATAAAACTATAATCTTGACCAACTTAGTTGAAGTAAGCTATTGACATTCTTACAACCAAAATCATTAATACAAATTTCTTAGTTCAAATTATTATTTACTTTGATACCAGTAACACTTTTATAAACTTTTCAGAAATTATCAAATACTATTAAAAAAAAATATATCTATAACAGAAAAAGGTTTACAAACTAATTTAACTTATATTTTCAAGAACCAACAAACTTAAAAAATTCAATCTTCTTTACAGATACTCTTTTTTAATAAATTTCTCTATATATTATATTAATGTAGCCACTATCTTTAAGATTATAATATTCTTCACTTCTAGTAAGTTATTTTTAAAAAAGAATAATGTAAGTAGACAGATGATAATGTCTATTTATATAAAGATCCAAATTAATAATAACCAGATTCAATGTACAGAGTAGGATATAATACTCTTCACAGTTGTAAGAGCTAAGATATGATGAGTGAATCTATAGAAAAACCCTTTATCTTCTTGAATCCCATTGCATTATTTCATTTTAAAAAAATATTACAAGACCCATTATATAATATATTACTAAATCCAGATTTATGCTATAATAAATAATTAGTAATCAAAGCCTACCTTTATTTCTATATTATGAGGACAGATTTAGATAGGATTAGATAGAATTAATAAACAAATAATAAAATAACTACAACCGCAAAGCATAAACTACCTACCTGACTCTAGTAAAAGTGCAAGTATTGCCTTGTAAAGCCCCAGTAACTATCATTAAACAGAAACTGTTCACCTTAAAAATAAGTTAAACCTGCAGTTAATCATTTGTCATAGTTATATAACCCATAACCTAAAGACTGAATCGAAAAGAGTTCTGACTCTGATTTGACATAGCAAAATCCTAGATAAGATAAGGAAATAAGAAAAGAAAGGAATTAGTAAAAGAAAGTAGGTTGAAGAAAAGACTCAAGAGAAAAAGAAGAGACCAGTACTTACCTATAGACAATAAATCACTCAAGACTGCAAACCATCCAATTATTACACAAAGCTGACTTTTGATTAGTGACAGACTTGTCTATTTAGGGACTCTCATGATTTTTGTGGCTACTGTGATGCCAGAAATTGTGATACTGAATACCATGACCAATCATGTGAAAAATGCATGAAATGCAATAAGTGTAATAAGTTACATTTAGGATTGAAAACAGTATTTCTGATCCAGAAAGGTAGATAAGAAATAAGAAGAGGATGTAAGGATAAATTACACATCCTTAAAAATATTAAATAAATCATTGTAAATAGTTTTAATTGGGTTTAAGAAATAATAAGTGTAAAGTCACATTTGTGAGTGATGAATTTAGTATTATAAATAAAGGCTGAAATGGCCCTTAAGAGGAGTTCACTTCATTTGCTTTATTAAACAATAAATTCTAATACTCTACATTGTACTTAATAAACACTAACACTATTATCATTACAAACTTTGTAAACCTCTAATAATGTTACTGTTCAATCCTTAACTACGTGACTTATCCTATTTGCATTCATTGACCCAAAGTAATTGAAAGCCTTAACTATCACAAGTCAAATCTAACACCCTCTTTCAAAAAGATTACTTATTATATGTTATACAAGGTTTTGAATTTTGAAGCAACAAAGTTGCAAACTTCTGAACCCAACAATATCTACAAACTCTTTATTTTTTCTTGAATATATATATCCTTATAATTATATATTACTCAATCTTTACAACTTTATACTGACAATATTAATTAAACTAAACTATAGTGAATGCTATATATACTTATCAAATAAACCAGAACCCTTATCTGATTATTTCATTTTAAAGTAATCTGACTATAGATACTATTTATCAATAGTTATTTTTTCTAAATATTCTTTAGTATTAAATAATATACAATATATCAAACTTGTTTTTAAAAATAATAGTTTAAACTACATTTATATATAATTAATAAAAACTATCTTATTTGGTCATAATGATACTGTTATTACCAATGAACATTTTGACTTTATACAACTTCATATATGTTATAATAAATTCCTAACTTATAATTATCTTCTATTAGTTTCATATCTACAAACAATTATCTCTTTTTTACAATATATCTATAGTTTTGATTATTTATCAAGCAATACTTGTAACTATACTCTAACCATTTTTATTAAAAATGATTACAATAAAATTCATGGTTATCTTTTATTTAAACCTAAATTCCTTTCTAATCATTTTATTCCACCATTTCAAGCTATTTAATATTACCTAAATATTTTACTAAAATCATATACAACAGAAGATGTTTCTCTTAATTTAACAAATCAATATACTATAATATTAACACCAAACTTATTACCTTCTCATCTTTAATACCACTACAACAACCTTCATCTCCCCTCATTTCTTTATTACCACCTTCAACATCACCACTACTTTCATCACAAATTTCTATATCTATACAAAACTTAGATAACCTTTATTTAAATATTGCAATACATAATGTTTGAGAATTTAACACAATAACTAAAAAAGAAACTTAAAAAACTACTGTCTTTATAGCAATATTAATATTGCTTATATGACAGGCTATTTATTTTTTTTATTGACATAAAATAAAATTAATATCAAACTATTCAAATATAATAAATTCAAAAATTTGAATCTATATTTTATTAAATTACAAGTTATCTTAATAAATTGAATCACTATAAAATTCATGTGATTTGCAGAAAAATTTGAGATGTTGTTGGAGTAGTGTGAAGTCAAAACCTGTAAGATCAGGAATAAACAATTAGAAAAAAAACATAGCTTTAAAACTGAAATGCATGCACACACACAAATAGGATACCTACATAGGTTTGCATAAGCTATATTAAACCAGTTGCACTCCATTCATCATATATCAAACACATTTTTAGCATTATTTGGAGTACTACACAAAGCAACAAGGATTGATCATCCGATCAGGTTCAAGATTTCGCACATCGACAACTGAATCGCATATAAGCCACTGGGATAAAGTAAACCGTTATAATGTCAAGCGCAATTTTGTGCAACTTCAAATCATGCGAAAACGAAATAAGATAGATCAATGAAAACGAAAGGCATAAAATAGTAAAAAGGCTGCATAACAAAATTGATAATACAGGTGGGATCTTATTTAAAACAGGTAATAACTTAACAATCAAAAAGCCACGATAATAAATAGTAAGGGCCCGTGTTTAAACTAATGACTAAATAAGAAAATCTAAACACTTTAAAAATACAAGCATGATATCGATGCAAAAAATTTATATAACGCACAAATTCAGAAATCACGAGATAAGTCACAAGGATCGATCATCCAATCATATCCAAGATTTTGTACATCCACATCTGACCATATGCTACGTTTACGTTGCACAAATTCCGTTCCTGGTATTTATACTATCACAGTAAAATCTCAAGAAGTGCATTCTTAAATTCAGGCCCAAATATAATGAAAGCTTTTGAGACTGAACTTTAATAATATGCACTTAGAGATCAATAATAAAAGGTGCATTTATAGGGTTATATATAGATTTGGGTCCGAATTTAAGTGTGCATTTAGAGAAGGTGTGCACTATAGATAGAATTTGAGATAACCAAAATTATAATTGACTAGTCTTTGGGTCATTTCGAAGTCTAAAGGTCATTTAACATATGTTAATTAATGTTCTAACACATTTTAGCCAATCAGAATTGATCTCCAAACACAATCTACGATTATCGATTAATTTCTATGAGCAACTTGACCAATAAAATTATTCTATATACAAATGACCTGAATGAATTAATAACCCAAATACTTGGTCCTTATTTGATGACTTGAGATCATTTAAGTTTTGGTCATTTACCATTCCTGCTTATAGAGAATGCACTTATGGAGGTTTCATTGTAATTCCAAAAACACCTGACTTACTCTTAATTCAACACATACATAGTTTTATAATATTTTATAAACTATTTAAGATTTTTCATAGTTCTGATACAACTTATATCGATTTAAAATTGGCGAAGATTTAATTTTGATGCACAAAATTATTTGTCAGATCACACATTAATGCGGATAAGTTTTCTCAATTTCATAACAAAAGTTTACTATCAAATTTAACTTGCGCATGTAAGGACAAAGTTTTTCAACCAACGAAAATTGAATTTGTCATCCCATTGTAGCATATAATGGAGAATAATAAATATACTGTATATAGATGTTATCTCATGCCTTGTACTACTAGTTACGTAGCTGGGTGTGACAATATTATTAGTGTATAACATATACGTAAGATTCATTTACGTTTACATGGTTCAACTCCTATTTTTGTCATTTTTGTAGAAAGTATTTAGATAATTGTTATATAGGAAATTGTTATAATGGAAGAATATGGAATTCCTGGTTCGAGTTCATCAACTGTAAGGATAGTAATAAATATCTTTCTCGAATAATTAGTATAAATTTTAATGTGTTTTTATTTTTAGTCTGCAGGACATAATCACTATGGTTATGTTAATAAAAACTCTTCAACTAGTTCAACTTTTAGTATTAACAAAACGAACACAAAAGTTGAAGATCAAGCCATTATTGATCGTGCTAAGGAGTTTATGAAAGACTTTAAAAATCCATCAAATTTAATTAGTTTTAAGTATTTAGTTGAAGACCTTGAAGTAGAGCCTTCTGCATCATTATTAGAATTGTTAGTTGATGCACTTTTATTACTTAGTGATGCTTCTTTATTTAAATGCTACACAAGAAATACTATTCCACATTTAGAATTACATCTTCGAACTTGGATTGCCACCTTAGAAGTTGTATTTTATTCTCCTACTGTATTAACTCGTGAAACTCGTGACAAACTCTATAGTAATTTAGATAAGTTTGTTGAAATTCACTACCGAGTAACAGAAATGTTTAGCCAAGGCGTTAATCATAGCTTTAAGTCTAAATTTAAATCCAAGGAGATTAATATTACTAGCAATATCAACATGAATTTTCCAAATTATAATATTAATTTTTTATTGATCCACTTACGTGACACTTTACACAGTATGCGTGATGATGAAACTCGATTAGATGAATTTTTACGACGATTTAGAGAAAGTATTTTGGCTCTTATTAGTAGTGCTCCTAAAATACCTTCTGTCACTCCTGGAAATGTTCCTGCTACACTTGATTATACCAATAGTACTTTGCCAAGAATTATCAATGCTCTCAATGTTAAATATCCTATTGCTTACTGGTATCCAGTATGGCGTGAACTTTTATTAATGCATTATTCATTAAAAACTTTGATTAGAGATTTAAATTATAATATTTTACGATTCTATAATGAAACTTATCTTCTTGAATCACTTTGGCAACATGCTTTTAATCAGGGGTATGAACAGCAAAAACATGATGATATTTTAAGTATCTTGAATAATTATAAAGCATTTCGTGGATTGTGGACTAGAAAAGAACCAACTGCTCTACCAAACTCTCTATGGTTTGGTGTATTAGATCTTGCTCAAAATTTAAGTTATCAAACTGTTCAACCTGTTAATTTGGCTCTTTGTTATTATTTAGGCTTGGAATCATTACAAAAGTCCCAATGTTATTATATTCAATTCAAATCTTTAGAATTACTTATATCCCTTTCTTATCAGGAGCCGAAGTGGTTTAAAGATGTAGTAAAAGAAGAAATAGAGAAATTTATCGAATTACTACCAGTAGATTCCCAACTAAAATTTAAAAATCTAATTTATGATATAAATCAAAAACTTCAATTAAGTAATGAATTTATGAACCAATTTAGTATAAATTATGAAAATAAATCAATAATTAAGAACGATATACTGGATAAAACATCTAATTCTTTGTTAGAAATAATTGCAGAAAATTTTACCTGTAAGATTACTAAACAAATAACTGGAGATTTTCTTATTTTATCATGCTGTGGACACTCAGTTAGTCGTGATGCTATTAATAAGTGGAAAAATATTTCAATTTTTAAGAATAAATTATTTGAATGTCCATTTTGCAGAACTGAAATTAAGATGGAATCATTCTATAATCTTGCACAAAATACAATGATAAAAGGTCTCTACAAAAGGTTAGAGCAAGAAGGATATTTAAATAATTTATTAGAAGAACAGCAAATGCCAATGGACAATATGTATATAGCAGAAGATGATTTACTTTTAAAAATGAATAAAATGCGTATATTTGGAATTCATATGCCACCTAAATCACCTATTTCAATTTTAAAAAAAGTTCGTCCAAAAGTTTTACATCCAGCAGCAACGAAAGCAACCAATGCAGAACAACAAAAAGATTATGAAACGGCCATAGTATGGTTAACTCAACTTTTACAAGATTATCCAAAAAGCTATTCAATTTTATGTAGAAGGGCATTTGCATCTTTGAAACTTAAATTATATTCCCGAGCTTTAAAAGATTTAGTAATAGCAACCCAATTAAAACCATCAAAGTCTTTAGCTTATATTTACAGAGGTCAAATATTTGATGAAATGGGTAGATATGAAGAAGCACTTGTAGATTATAACAAATCGCTTGAAATAAGTCCAAATAATGCAACTACTCTAAATATTCGTGGATTAACGTATAATCATATGAATAAATATGAAGAAGCACTTGCAGATTATAATAAATCATTAGAAAAAAGTCCAAATGATGCAACCACTCTAAACAGTCGTGGAAACATATACTATAAAATGAACAGATATGAAGAAGCACTTGCAGATTATAATAAATCATTAGAAATAAGACCAAATAATGCAAAAACATTATCTAATCGTGGATTAACGTATGATCATATGCGGAGGTATGAAGAAGCACTTGCAGATTATAATAAATCGTTAGAAATAAGACTAAATAATGCAAATGCATTATCTAATCGTGGAGATACTTATCGTAAAATGAGTAGATATGAAGAAGCACTTGCAGATTATAATAAATCATTAGAAATAAGACCAAATAATGCAAATACATTATCTAATCGTGGAGATACTTATCGTAAAATGAGTAGATATGAAGAAGCACTTGCAGATTATAATCAATCATTAGAAATAAGTTTAAATGATACAAATACTCTAAATAATCGTGGAGTAACGTATGAACATATGAGTAGATATGAAGAAGCACTTGCAGATTATAATAAAACATTAGAAATAAGTCCAAATGTTGCAATTACATTATCTAATCGTGGAAATACTTATCGTAAAATGAGTAGATATGAAGAAGCACTTGCAGATTATAATAAATCATTAGAAATAAGTTCAAATGATGCAAAAACATTATCTAATCGTGGATTAACGTATGATCATATGAGGAGGTATGAAGATGCACTTGCAGATTATAATAAATCATTAGAAATAAGTCCAAATAATGCAATTACATTATCTAATCGTGGAGATACTTATCGTAAAATGAGTAGATATGAAGAAGCACTTTCAGATTATAATAAATCATTAGAATAAGACCAAATAATGCAAATACATTATCTAATCGTGGAGATACTTATCACAAAACGAGTAGATATGAGAAGCACTTGCAGATTATAATAAATCATTAGAAATAAGTCCAAATGATGCAAATACTCTAAATAATAGTGGAGTAACGTTGTGGGACCCGAATGGACCCTGGTCGTTCGGGGTGGGATATTACTTAATTAGGGAAGGAGTCGATCGCATCCGTCGCATCCGTCGCATGCGACCAATCAGTTGCATGTGACGCATGCGTCGAATGTGGCGGATAGCAGCGATCGAGTGGAAGGGAAATATCAGTAAGATATGACTGATTAATAGTATCAGTGATATCAGTCGTATCCATCGTATAATGTACATAGAAGATTTAATTATAAATAAAGGCCGAACAGGCCCTTTGGGAAAGACAACTTCCCCTTGACAACAAATATATAACACATATAATACATTATTACCCATAATAAAACTACTGTTAAAATACTACTACACGAATAACTTTATTAAATACAATCGTTTGTTACATAAACCGTCCCTAACTTGAACCTCTGTAAAAAGTACACCAGTGCATTTAACTAACTCTAACCCGACGCATCCTGCACCAGTAGACCCGACCATTTTCAGACCAACCACTCGACAAATCTAACACGCCTCCTTCGACCCAATTTACCGACCCTAAAGGTTACACGAGGAACCTGACCGACTCGCCGTTTTACGATTACAACGTATGAACATATGAGTATATATGAAGAAGCACTTGCAGATTATAATAAAACATTAGAAATAAGTCCTAATAATGCAATTACTTTATCTAATCGTGGAAATACTTATCGTAAAAAGAGTAGATATGAAGAAGCACTTGCAGATTATAATAAATCTTTAGAAATAAGACCAAATAATGACACTACTCTAAATAATCGTGGATTAACGTATAATCATATGAATAGATATGAAGAAGCACTTGCAGATTATAATAAATAATTAGAAATAAGTCCAAATAATGCAATGACTTTAAAGAGTCGTGAATTAACATATAGGAAGTTGGGTAGATATGAAGAATTATTGTCTGAAAAGTGATCAATAAAATTATAAAATGAACAGAATTAAATCGGACTTTTACTTTAATCATACTTTGAATTAATGATATGGGCATGATTAACTAACTTGATCGCTAATAATTGGGTTTATTAAAAATAAATGTTATTTAGCAGGTACATTGTAATCGGGTAATCAGAGTTAAATCGCCACTCAAATTTTTTATCGACATGTGTCATTCGTTTTTAGAATCGTTATAAATTCTACCGATTAATTAAAGACATTTATTTATTTAAATAATAATTATCGTCAAACGACAATAATAAAAGTTAAATGTTAAAAGAACGATATGCATATATGATATGATTTTAAATGAAAATTCATTATGTAAGCAATTCATCTGTCTATTCGATATGTTAGTGTACTGTAAACTGTGCCTAGATATGTCTAGTCCAATTACAAATATTTATTTTACATTATTTTTTAAATACTTACATGACGTTATATTTTGATAATAATGTATTAGAATATTCAGTATAAATAAATCTATAAATAATTTATTCGAAAATTTATTTGTTTTCCTAACCTTCATATGCCAACACTGAAAAATATCAGATTTTAACGCATAATTAAGTAAACCAAATTTACTGGCTTAAGATGCTACTCATTGAATAACTTTCTTGTCAAGCATTTGTTGCCTGTTTAGAATTTGACAATCTTAGTTCGACGTAAATTCGCTATTTTAACCTTATGCAGAATGAACACCCATTCTAATTACGCACAATATACTGTATATAAAAAAATTATTCAAATACTAAGTTGTAATCAGATATCTGATTTTAGATCAAAAATAAGTGACACATTTATTTCAAAATGAATGATCTATAAATCTCTATTTTTTTTTTGTTAAGTATTGGGAGCCGCAGAACTGTAGTCCCAGATAGCGATCCAAATCGTTAGTTGAAAAACCAACTAGTTGACAACTTTCCAACTAATCGATTTGGAACATTTTGAAACAACTAGTGATTAAATCATCAACTAGTTAAATTCTGAGATATTCCACTGGCTCGCGTTGATTTCTTTAGTTTAATTGGCCAATCAACAAATTTAGCCACATCATAGTAAAAATTGATTAGTTGCAACCAGGGACGGTAAATACTTCCATTCCATTTTATTCCGATATAAATTGACAAATCAGGACTTGCATCTAGCGCTAGATAAAAGTTTTGATTGGTCAATTGACATTTGAATAAAATGGAATGGAAGTATTCACCGTCCCTGGTTGCAACTAAGATGTTAAATTGGTCTGATCCGGATTATAAGATCAAAGACCGACGATCCAAATCGTGATCTCACAGATTGGGTATGAATAGGATGACTCCGAAAGTCGAAAGTCATGCCGAAATCGAAAGTTATGCCGAAAGTCATAATGAAAGTCGAAAGTCTTACTGAAAGTCGAAAGTCCTACCAAAAGTCGAAATTCTTGCCGAAAGTTTAAATTTCAAACATTTCACGTGACATAGACTTCGTTGACACAGATGCAAAACATACATTTTTGATATACCTGCACCTACTTTTTTGATATACCCAAATATACCCAAATTTTTCTATATTTTTTTGATACATGCATATGCATATTGTTTGGTTCGGAAGATTGCGACTCTGTCGCTCCACAATTCAATATCTCGCGTAACGTACGATAAGTAACCTTTTCGAAAGAGGGTGTTAGATTTGGCTAGTGGGCGATTAAGGCTTTCGGTTATTTTGGGTCAACGAATACAAGTCGGGTAAGTCACGTGTACAAGAACTTAAACGAACGACAATATTTATTGGGGGTTTACAGGGTTTATAACGGTATTAGTGTTAGGGTTTTATAATGGATGATATAATGTATTGTGACTTGTTTATTAATAAGGTAAACTGGACATGTCATCTCTTAGGGTCATTTTGGCCTTTATTTATATTATCTTTTTAATTATAATTTCATTAATTACATTAATCTCATTAAACTCTTTAATTGGATTCCTCTAATTTATTCACTTAAACTTATTTACTTAATAAATCCCTCTTCTCTAATTAATCTCACTTCCTTGATTTATTTAATTAATCACATTAATGTAATTAATTGCCAGGATATCTATATCAAGGATTTGATCATCATACCTGTTCTCATGTGAGGTCCCAGCATCTTAATTTCATCATATTATTAGGTCTCACAATTCTCCCATGATTGAGGACAAGTTCTTCGAGATTTTCAAATTATTGTCTTCTTTCAGGGTCTTATACCAAGGTTTCATTCCACTGCAGTAAGTACAGGATGGATCTTTTTTCTTGATTTTTCTTAGCAGATCAGTTTTTGTCCCACTTTGCTAACTTTCCTTCTTTTTTTAGTAGGTTAAGATTTCTGAATTAAGCCTTTCATGATTTATACATTTTGGAGTCTTTCTTTTGTTCTATATTCTTGTTCATGGATTATTCTACAATTTGATTGGGAGTAGCATTAAGTATCAAGACTTGTGGTGGTATGAATTCAATTTTACTTCATTCATCCTTTTCTTCACTCAAAAATTCTTAACAGAATTGAATTATCTAACATTCCTATCTTTTACCCACCATTCATGCACCTCATAACAATTTCCAGGCTTGACCAAATAGGAGTCTTTTATTATTTTTGTGTTGTCTTGGATCAGTTTTTTAAACTTATTCATCCTTCTGTTCCAATCTTTACAGGTTTTATTTAGGTTTTTTTACAAGATTCATCACCAATTTTGCATAGTAAGAAATTTATATCTATCAAATGTAATTATTTTATTAGAATTATTCATATTTGCAGACTTTTAATAGTAAGTAAATGCTTTCATTTTATCTCTTTTAATTTTAATACTAATGTTATACATTCTTTTGACAGATTTTATAGCTACAAATTTTTGATAATAAAGATGACTTTATGTTGGTCCTTTTAAATTCTAATCCCATCTTGGTAACAATAACTCTTTGCACTTCCAGAAGATTCAAAAAAAATTTTTTTTTCTGCAAGTTTCATATTAGTGGACCTTTGATGATCTTTAGTTTGGATTTCTTCTTCACAATAGGGTTCAAAACAGTTTTGTCTATTCGAACTGCCATTTTCAGCATTTTTCAAATACTGTTTAAGTATTCTGTAATTGGTCTTTTCAACTTTAATTCTATTATTTTCATTTTTTCCAACATCAGTTTCATTTTGATAATAGTATTCATGATTGACAGATTCTAGTTCTTCAAGCTTAAGTCTTTTCAAGTATATTTTGATCAGGTTTTCTAGGAGAACTTCAGCATTAGGATTAACATTCTTTACTTTTAGAGCAAGATAGAGGTTGATTTCTTTCTTAATTAGGTCTTTCTAGTAACAGGACAGCATTAAGAGAATCTTTGAACTTGAAAGTTTAAAGACATAGGATACAAACTTTCTTTTTTCACTAATAAAGCCAATTAAATATACGAGAGTAAGTAGACAACATCTTTTTCATCATCATCATCTGAGTTGTCTTCCTAGCTAACACCTTCTAATATATCTAAACAACATTTCAGGTCTTGCAATTCATAAAAACTTTGATTTTTATAAGTTTATCCATAATTTCCAGGATTTTTTGCATTTGATTTTTAATAAGTGCATTCATTAACTTCAGATGTTTTAGGTGCAACTTTCATATTTTTGGGCAATTACTAACATTATGCCTTTCTTTTTTACAATAAGAACATTTAATTCTTCAAGAGCCTTTTTTAATCAGTTTATTTCTTGGAGGTTTTTTGAGACTTGCTATCATCAAGATACTTTTGTTTAGGTCCTATTTTGCTGATAATTTTGATTAGTGATGGTTGGTTCATAGATTTTATACATTTTTTTGAAATCTTCAAAAGTTCTTGATCATAGGTAAGTACAGATCTCCTCCTTAAGTCTTTTTTTAAACCTACTATCTTACTAACTTTTGTACTTACTATTTCTATAATTAAGACCATGGTTAGGTCTTTTTCTTGGACCTCAAACTAGAATTCAATCACCTTAACTGTCTACAGTATATTGAAAAAGTTGAAAACAACAATGTTAATTCTCAGTATATTGAAAATTAACCAGACAGGTAATGATACACTTTATATTCATTTTGTAAGCAAGAATACAAGAGTGGTGTTCATACTACTTATGCTAAATGCTTTAATACAAAATTATACTAGAAATGTGATCCAAAATCCAGCAATCTGAATATCTGCTTTAAAATCCAATCCTATACAGATAACAGATAATAGATAACTGCATATTAAGGGGTAATCTGGGTCAGATTTATCTGAATCATCTGATGAATATCTGTTATTCGTTTAGTCATATTTGTAATTACATATGTACATATGTACATAATTAATCTATAATCAATTCTTAATCAATTTAAATCTATTTACTTTGTGTTGGATGATCTTTTATATATATAACAATAAATGAAATTACTAAAAAAAGAAAATACCAAGCAAATAACAAAAAGAGCAATAATTCTTCTATTCAGAACTCTCAAGAGGATGTTCTTATTGGCACAAGTTTATATGTTGATTTATTAAATCGAACTAGCTGGGTATCAGAATTTTTTTATTCAGAGATTCGAAAAGAAGGTAATGAAGAGTGGAGAAAGTTTGCTATTTGTAAGATTAAAATATCAGTTGGAGTAGAATGTAGATGAACATATAGAACTAAGTCCTCAACTATCAATTTTATTAGGCATCTATTAGCAGACCATAAAGTTACGAAAGATAACCTACATCCAAAAGAGGTCTGTATATAATTTTTAATAATTATTATATATATTATTTGAATATTAATTTTTTTATATCAAATAATAGCTATTACAATCAACATGTTCTATTCAACCACATAATAAAAAAAGACAATGAGAATTAAATAATATGCTTGTTGATTGGCTTGTTGCTAACTTATGGTCATTTATTATTATTCAACATCCTTTATTCTGATGTTTTATAAATGAATTAGATTCAGCATTTGTTATCCCTGGCACTAAGCTAGTTAAACAAATTATTCATCATGCTTACAATTATTGTGTGCTATTGTTACATAAACATCTTGCAGAAAATGCTATTAAAGTATCTTTTACAATGGATCTTTGGACAGCTAAAAATTATTATGGATTTCTTGAAGTTACTTGCTTATATATAGTTCAACAATTTAAATTAAATGAAGTAATTCTTGCTATACAGCATGTTCGATATCTACACACAGCTAATAATATTTATGAAACTGTTGAAAAAATCATTCAATATTGGAATTTAATAGGCAAAGTACATTCAATTACAACAGATAATGCTCTAAATATAAAAAAGTCTGTAGTAAAAATAGATAGGGTTTTATAGCAAGGCTGTAGTGTACATATATTACAGTTGGTTATTAGAAAAGCTTTATTATCTGTTAGAACATTAATAATTTGTGCAAAACATTTAATTAACTTTTTCTTATGTCCAAAACAATCAGAGTGATTAGAAGAAATTCAAAAAAAAATCTCAAAAAAGCAGCTGTAGTAAGTTTTAAATAATTAAATTTTTTTTTTATTTACTATATATATATAATTTAAATAAATTTAAATAATTTATTTATTTATATTTAAAGAATGCTAAAGATACTACAGATTATTTAATTAATTACATAGCTAATTGTGATACATGCTAAAATAGCTTGTATTTAGTATAGACATGTTTAATACAAATTAAGGCATATATTGAGCTACTTATGATTTATTTTACAATTTATAAAAACTCAGATGAATGTAAAGATAGAAAATATTTGCATGAAATTTATTTAACAAAACAAGAGTAGGGTTTGCTAAAAAATTTTATACTAGTTCTTGGGCCATTTGCAGAAGCCGCTCAATATTTGGATGGCTTATACTATTTAACACATAGCCTTATGTACTGTGTCATTAAAAAATTAAAAGAAATGTTTGAGCCAACAATTAATAATATGGATGACTCAAGTATTAAAGATGAAAAAGATGCATTTGATAATGATGAAAAACCAACTAATAAAGAACAAATTATGTTAAATAATTCTATTAATACTACAGACTTGCAAACAAAGTTAAAGCAAAGATATATACAATACTTTGTTATTATTATCCTAACCCAGTACCTCATAGATTAGTATCTGCACTATTAGATCCTTGACTTAAATCTTTAGATTTTGTTAAGATTACAAATAAATTGGCAGCTGAAAGAATTCTTAGAAACTTATATGATAATGAAAAACTATTAAAAAATGAAGAAAATCTAAGGTATATATAATTTTATGATTTAAAAACTTATTTATTTTATTTAATTTTTTTTTCTTTACAAAATAGTGAATATGAAAATCAAGATTTGAATAATGCTAACAAAATAGATAATTATAATCCTAACAATGATTTTCTATATACATCTTGTTTACTAAAATCATTAGAAAAGGATGTTTCTCAAGTAACAAATGAAATTAAAGAATATTTCAGAATTCCAGAGATTAGTTTGAGAAAAGATCCTTTAAGTTGGTAGGATTTGCATTCAAAAAAATTTACTATTTTATCTAAATTGGTATAAATATACTTGCTGGTCTCTGCAACTTCAACCTCTAGTAAGTGTTTGTTTAGTGATGCTAGTAACTTATTAATATTAAAAAGAACCTGAATTATACCTGAACTATTCAAAAGGATAATGTTTTTAAAGAGAAATATTGAAAAATATCAAAATATTCATCCTTCTAAATAATATAAGTATATTTTTTATAAATATTATGTAGAATTTATGAATTTGTTTTATAATAAACATATTATGAATTAGCTTTGTAATAAATATATATATGTATTGCAAATTTGCTTTGTAATAATATGTACTGTAAAAGGGTGTGGCAACCCAGTGAAGTGAATAGGTTGTCAACCTCCAAGTGGCAGGTCTAGAGTTCAAATCCAAGTGATAGTGAAAATTTGCAAATTTTTCTGTGTTATGGCTAACTGTCTTCAATGATTGGTTGGGATAAAATACCTGTAATTCGTGTCATACCAGCCTGCCTGAAAGGTCTAGGCATTCATGCAACATTGTACGAAAGAACACAAACCAGTACCAGGCAGTGTGAATCCAAGATAAGTTTTTAGGCCATGTAAATCATAGGAACCAGATAGGAAGATGGAAGCACACTTGGAAGACCTGAGTAGAGAGGTAACCTGAACTTTCGACAGTGCTACTGTAAAGACTAGACTTATGAAATGGAGCTAGAACTTGTGAAACCAGGCAAAGAGCCAGCCTTTGAGGAGGGGCTGAATGGAACCAACCAGGCCACCAGAATTTACAGGTTTCAGGGGAAAAGGTTACATGCCGGCAAACTTGTAAATCAGAGGTATATGTTATGACCTGCCTTTCTAGGCTATCTGGTTTGGGAGCTTGGTGGAACTTGAATTGAGTACCAAAGTAGTAGGGATATGTTGTGAAGTCAGTACTGGGGTTGGGGTAAACTCTACAAGGGCATAGTGGTCAAATAGTATGCCCTGACTGCCAGTGTTGGTCTTGGCCATAGTGATAC